TGACAAATTTCTGATCAGAATGTAATTTCTAGCTTCACTTTTGTTTCTAAATTCTTATTATTGTTTTGTAAGTTGTATTTCATTCAGTTGTTAATAATGTTCCTTGAGCAGTTTTAGAGTTCCTAGAAAGCGGACGCGAAGACCTTCAGATTCAGCAGAGCACAGACTGAAAACCTTTGTTCCAGGCCATGAATACAAAGTAAAGTGATGAGTTTCCTTTCCTCGCAATTTATTCTCAGAAGAATCCAAGAAAATTCGGAAAAAATATCTAGCGCTAATTTGTATTATACGGGACTGACCCAGTGCCAAACAGGTTGGAATAAACAATTCAAAACATTTCGTTTTGGTTCTACTTTTTTGGGCCGATAGCCATCCCTGTCCACAAACTGCTGTCCACGACTGCGTGTATCAGTACGTGTGCAAATACCCTTCCATGCCATGTCAAAAGGATCTATCTATCTATCTATCTATCTATCTATCTATCTATCTATCTATCTATCTATCTATCTATCTATCTATCTATCTATCTATCTATCTATCTATCTATCTATCTATCTATCTATCTATCTATCTATCTATCTATCTATCTATCTATCTATCTATCTATCTATCTATCTATCTATCTATCTATCTATCTATCTATCTATCTATCTATCTATCTATCTATCTATCTATCTATCTATCTATCTATCTATCTATCTATCTATCTATCTATCTATCTATCTATCTATCTATCTATCTATCTATCTATCTATCTATCTATCTATCTATCTATCTATCTATCTATCTATCTATCTATCTATCTATCTATCTATCTATCTATCTATCTATCTATCTATCTATCTATCTATCTATCTAATCTATCTATCTATCTAATCTATCTATCTATCTAATCTATCTATCTATCTATCTAATCTATCTATCTATCTCTATCTCTCTATCTCTCTCTATTTATCTATCTATCTATCTATCTATCTATCTATCTATCTATCTATCTATCTATCTATCTATCTATCTATCTATCTATCTATCTATCTATCTATCTATCTATCTATCTATCTATCTATCTATCTATCTATCTATCTATCTATCTATCTACCTATCTATCTATCTATCTATCTATCTATCTATCTATCTATCTATCTATCTATCTATCTATCTATCTATCTATCTATCTATCTATCTATCTATCTATCTATCTATCTATCTATCTATCTATCTATCTATCTATCTATCTATCTATCTATCTATCTATCTATCTATCTATCTATCTATCTATCTATCTATCTATCTACCTACCTATCTACCTATCTACCTACCTACCTACCTACCTACCTATCTACCTATCTACCTACCTACCTACCTATCTATCTATCTATCTATCTATCTATCTATCTATCTATCTATCTATCTATCTATCTATCTATCTATCTATCTATCTCTATCTATCTATCTATCTATCTATCTATCTATCTATCTATCTATCTATCTATCTATCTATCTATCTATCTATCTATCTATCTATCTATCTATCTATCTATCTATCTATCTATCTATCTATCTATCTATCTATCTATCTAATCTATCTATCTATCTAATCTATCTATCTATCTAATCTATCTATCTATCTATCTAATCTATCTATCTATCTCTATCTCTCTATCTCTCTCTATTTATCTATCTATCTATCTATCTATCTATCTATCTATCTATCTATCTATATCTATCTATCTATCTATCTATCTATCTATCTATCTATCTATCTATCTATCTATCTATCTATCTATCTATCTATCTATCTATCTATCTATCTATCTATCTATCTATCTATCTATCTATCTATCTATCTATCTATCTATCTATCTATCTATCTATCTATCTATCTATCTATCTATCTATCTATCTATCTATCTATCTATCTATCTATCTATCTATCTATCTATCTATCTATCTATCTATCTATCTATCTATCTATCTATCTATCTATCTATCTATCTATCTATCTATCTATCTATCTATCTATCTATCTATCTAATCTATCTATCTATCTAATCTATCTATCTATCTAATCTATCTATCTATCTATCTAATCTATCTATCTATCTATCTAATCTATCTATCTATCTCTATCTCTCTATCTCTCTCTATTTTATCTATCTATCTATCTATCTATCTATCTATCTATCTATCTATCTATCTATCTATCTATCTATCTATCTATCTATCTATCTATCTATCTATCTATCTATCTATCTATCTATCTATCTATCTATCTATCTATCTATCTATCTATCTATCTATCTATCTATCTATCTATCTATCTATCTATCTATCTATCTATCTATCTATCTATCTATCTATCTATCTATCTATCTATCTATCTATCTATCTATCTATCTATCTATCTATCTATCTATCTATCTATCTATCTATCTATCTATCTATCTATCTATCTATCTATCTATCTATCTATCTATCTATCTATCTATCTATCTATCTGTCTGTCTGTCTGTCTGTCTGTCTGTCTGTCTGTCTGTCTGTCTGTCTGTCTGTCTGTCTGTCTGTCTGTCTGTCTGTCTGTCTGTCTGTCTGTCTGTCTGTCTGTCTGTCTGTCTGTCTGTCTGTCTGTCTGTCTGTCTGTCTGTCTGTCTGTCTGTCTGTCTGTCTGTCTGTCTGTCTGTCTGTCTGTCTGTCTAAACCCCGTTCAACTGTTAGGTTATATTAGACCCCTCCCCCCTCCCTCACTACAGCCAGGGTGGAGCTTTATAATAATGAAAAATTGACTCCCCTAAGGATGCGAGGAATAGTTTCAATGGACTTCGGAGGCAATTTAATTTTTTTTAAGAAAGAAAAATCCGACCCCTGATATTTCGCATCCAAGACTTTTGGGGTCTGCATGGGTTCGTGAAACATCTAGGACGCCACTGCTCCTTCTGATACGCTCCACATGAGGGTTGATCAACTGAAGGCTCGTTGGCCAAATCCGGCCCGCATAGGCCAGGTAAAGTGACCCGCAGGTCATCGTCAAAATCCTGAACTTTCTACGCTGTGGCACCGGCCCAAGGCCCCGTATCAATCCAAATGTTTAACATTTTGACTCCTTGGTGAACTTTATTGAATAGCACTGCTGAGTATTCGTTGAAACGCGTGACGTACAATTTATATTGTTTTCAAGAGGTACAATAATAATTTACTTTATTTGTAAATACTGTTTGTAATAAGTGTTGCTTTAATTCTTCTAAAGCGATCAAACTCCATTGACCGGCAACCGTGGGAATTTCTACAATCCAATCTTCGGAAATAATGCAAAGTAAGTTCGTCACATGGTGTTTACGTCAAACATATCCAAGTCACATCCCAGTTCTAACATTTACAACTGACAGATCTAGGTCCTAATTATTTATCTGAATTACCTCCCCATTCACAAGTGTGGCATGAGTGGATGCCTGTGGCATGAGTGGATACCTGTGGCATGAGTGGATACCTGTGGCATGAGTGGATACCTGTGGCATGAGTGGATACCTGTGGCATGAGTGGATACCTGTGGCATGAGTGGATACCTGTGGCATGAGTGGATACCTGTGGCATGAGTGGATACCTGTGGCATGAGTGGATACCTGTGGCATGAGTGGATACCTGTGGCATGAGTGGATACCAATCCTCAGTACGTCAACATTGCAGGGATATGCAGGAGGCGTTCGTGGAAATGAAAAAGCTGGCTACGAAAGCGACAGGTGCGGGAACACTAGTAATCGACAAGGGATACACTCTAAATCCATTTAGAATGCCGAAAGAAGACGCCAAGATAGATGAAATAACATGTGCAAGAATGTGTGAAAGAAGAATCAGGTGTGTTTCAGACTAGGAGGGACGTAAGAGAGGAAGAGAGTGACGTGTATATAAACAGTGTGCTACAAAAAACAGCATCTACAGCTTAACACTTCTCCTGAGGAAGGCGGAGCATCTTTGGCTAAGGCCGATGTGCTGTAATGTCGATTCTCAAATCAGTAAATTATTTCCCCAAGTTGATTCCGGGTGCCATAAGGCGCGGAGTAGGGTGGGGCCTAGCTATAAACCACAACAATACATGCCAACCGCCCTTGAAAAGGAACTCAACACTCCCCGTCATCGTGGCTTTAGAATATATCAAGATCTAACACTTCATACGATAACGGCAGCCTCTGTAGTAGAACCTATGCTATGGAACTATTTTGCAATATATTGTTTGTGCTTTATGGTTACGAAAAGAAAAGGAAAATCAACATTCAATTCTTCAAAATGAAATAACAGAGAAGAGTGTTAAGTCCTTATCGCTGACACCTGATCCAGACTATCCCATAAATAGAAAAAACAATCCCCATTTGGGTTCTTGGACCCATGCTAGGAAAAGGTAGGGGAGGGTAGACCCACTGCCTCCCTAACTAGCATATCGTACAAGACGACTAAATAGTTTCCTTTGAAGTCCGAGTGCGTCTGACTGAGAAATGAGTAACCGAAAATCTTCATACGAAAAAGTCAGTCTGTAAAACGGATGTGCACGCAAAACTCAAGTCCTGGAACAAGATCAGCGCCCAGAAGAAGACGAACAACCGTAACATTATGCCGGAGTTTACAACCGGTGAACGCTAAGAAAATGGGGGGAAAGGGCGGGAGTCAAAAAACCATGCTGAATAAATAGAGCAGTGGTTCTAAACCTTCAATTTGCCTCGACCCTTTAATACAGTTCTTCATGTTGTGGCGACCCCAACCATACAATTATTTCCCTTTGTACTTCATAACTTCAATGAATATGTGTTTTCCGGTGGTCTTATGCGACCCCTGTGAAAAGGTCGTTCGACCCAACGAGGGTCGCCTCCCATAGGTTGAGGACCTCTGAAATTTAGGATCGAATTTATGTTTCTCATTGACCTGTTGTTTATTCTTCACAGTTAAAATGTTTGCTTCTAACATATATTCCACAGTCCAAATAGCAATCAAGGTTATTCGGCAAACGGCAACAGATCTCAGACAAACATGTTGCCAGGTTCGCAAGATCCCAGATCCTACCCTAGACCAGTTAGTGCGGTCTATCCATGGTCCTTCCAACCGTCTGCTCACAACAATGGCTACACTCCCATGCCACAGCCATTTAGCCCGGCCCCGACCCAGCCTCCTGGTCGCAATAACGGTTATACTTTTAGGCCTTATCCATCTAATCAGTGGTCTCCTCCGTCTCCTAACCAACCGCCAACACAGCGTTCAAACAATTGGGTCGATAACCAAGAACCTAGAGATCGAAATCAAGAATTTGACTTAGTAGACTTTCAGAGTTTACCAGATAGTTATAAAACTGCCTTCATGTCTGTTGAAGAGCTAGTTAGAAACAGAGGTATGTATTGTTTGTCCTTAGAAATACATTCTTTATTGCTAAGGACTGTTGTCGAAACGCTCACAGAGTTCTTAGTGTCTATTATTTTAATCTTTTAACTATAACCACAGAATGACAATAATTTCTTTAAATCTTTTAACTATAACCATAGAATGAAAATCATTTATTTATATCTTTTAACTATACCCATAAAATGACAATAATTTCTTTAAATCGTTTACTATAACCGGAGAATGACAATCATTTCTTTCAATCGTTTACTATAACCGCAGAGTTACAGTTAGTTCTTTAAATCGTTTACTATAACCGCAGAATGACAATCATTTCTTCAAATCATCTACTACAAGTGGAGAATGACAATAATTTCTTTCAATCGTTTACTATAATCGCATAATGACACTCATTTTTGTCAATCGTTTACTAAAACCTGATAACGACAATTATTTCTTGAAATCGTTTACTATAACCAGAGAACGACAATCATTTCTTTCAGTCGTTCACTATAACCGCAGAGTTACAATCACTTCTTCTTTAAAACGATGGGACGACTTTCACGCATCGCATCAGTTAAAATAAACACACGCATAGGATTGCCAAAATCTTAGTTTTCTGTCATGGTACAGTATTAATTGTATCCATATGGTTAAAGCGCTGAGCTCATACAAGAAACCCGAATTCGATCCTCGGTTCAAGAGCTAAATCACAATCCCTAACCTGCACAGTCTGTGGCGACTGCACAAGCCAGGGTGTTTGGAATTCTCGGGATCACGTCCCTACTGCTTTTCATTTCTCTGGAAGTAGTATATATTGGCAGTAAAGGCAGTAAAGGTAAAAAAAAAAGCACAATCCAAAACCAGATTTCTTTAAATCGTTTTCTGTAACCGCAGAATGACAATCATTTCTTTAAAGCGTTTACGGTAACCGCAGAATGACAATCATTTCGTTAAAGCGTTTACTGTAACTGCAGAATGACAATCATTTCTTTAAAGCGTTTACGGTAACCGCAGAATGACAATCATTTCTTTAAAGCGTTTACGGTAACCGCAGAATGACAATCATTTCTTTAAAGTGTTTACGGTAACCGCAGAATGACAGTCATTTCCTTATAGCGTTTACGGTAACCGCAGAATGACAATCATTTCTTGAAAGCGTTTACAGTAACTGCAGAATGACAATCATTTCTTTAAATCGTTTTCTGTAACCGCAGAATGACAATCATTTCGTTAAAGCGTTTACTGTAACCGCAGAATGACAATCATTTCTTTAAATCCGGCATCCCGGCATTACGAAGCGTTCGCATTGACATAGCCACAGAGCTGACGAAGACTGTATAAATAAGCCAACCTTTATTTCCTGACAATTTCCACAGGAATGGTTTCACCGCCAGGTCCTAATTCCGGAAATGTTGTGGTAGCTTTTAATCAACAAACTCAAGAATTATTTGACCCATCCCTGCAGTCGATTGTGTCAGATATTCTGCCTACATTAGTTCCTGGAGCGTGGAGATCAATGACTTATGTGCAAGGCTGCTGTTCGGCGTGAGTACAACTTGTTTTATTGCTTGTATACACACCTTTGTAGCGCGGCATTGGCAGTGTTTCTTTTCTCATGCATGTATATATATATACATATATATATATGGTTCTGGTCATTTAGGCTTCTAAAGAAGAGCGTCAGTACTCAAGCGACTCCTGTGCAAATCAGACGGGACGAAAAAGAGATTAGCACATTCAAGCTATGAGGAACCATTGAGAAACTGTAACTGACATGCGAATTCACAGAGGTAACCTGACTGTAAGTCTGGCATGAGCAAACAAAGAAACAAATAAAAACAAGAAGAAGATGGTTTCAAGCTGCGTTACTAGTGCAAAGTTTAAAAGGTTAAAAGTCAGAAGTATCGAATTCATTGCACCGGGATTTATCTCATATTGCTAAGGCTATGTCCGAAAAACGGCTATCCGTTAACTGAAAGCATCGCAAAAAGTAGGAACGCCGTAGCTCCGACGATCCTCAGGAATCTCCGTAAAAATTGCACTCGTGAATTAAGCGACACAGCCATGAAACGAACCAACGATCTTCAGAGTGCAAGGCAAACAGTTTGAACACTTCGCCACAGAGACCAGTCATCAAGTGATTTGCGGGTTAGCTTAACTATTTTGCCCCAGGCACAGAATATATCCATCATCTGACGAGGATTGAACCATGGGTCCCACAGGATAGACTAATGATCTAACCATTCGGCCAACCGCTCCTCTTTTAGCCCACATGATGTCCGAAACAACAGTGTTAACAAATCAACGATAATCCAATAACCCCAATAATAAAGTGAGTGTTTTTTTAAACCCACACAAATACACTCACACAAACACACATGTGTGCAAATGCACACATATACTCACACCCACTCCCACCTCCCCCTCCAAACTTTTACACATACACTCATTCACACATACATAAACACACACACAAATACACTCTCACATACTCACATAATACATACATAAACAAGCACCATCTCCTCCCAAACACACCTACATATGCACTTACTTACATACACATATTTACTCACATATTAATCATTCTGTCCTAATATTAAAAGCTTTTTATGCACATGTGTCTATTTATGCATGTTCGAGGTTGATTAGTAATTGCTTTAGTCTGTCTTCATTTTACTTCAGTATTAGTTTTAATTAATTTTTCTCACATCCAGACTTTCTAGAACTGTGCTCATCTTGCCTTTTGTATTCATGTTTACATTTCTTTGAGCTCTGCCATCTTTGTTGTTATACACATATTCATTCATACATTTATGTTACTTGCATAGTCTTTACCTTCGTACCTTCGGGCCGCGTTAGCGAAGTCGATAAGAGGCTCGCTTTCAAATTTTTCTCACATCCTCAAACTCTCTAGAACTGTGCTTATCTTGCCTTTTGTATTTATGTTTACATTTCTTTCAGCTCTACCATCTTTGTTGTTATACACATATTCATTCATACATTCATGTTACTTGCATAGTCTTTACCTTCGTACCTTCGGAACGCGTTAGTGAAGTCGATGAGAGGCTCGCTTTCAAATCCAGCTGCGACTCGCTGCAGCCCACGGTCGGTGTTCGAAACCGGGCGGCTCCTGGGGTTCACCCAGCCTCTAGGAAATGGGTACCAGTGTTGACACTCTGGAATAAATTAGGAACGTCGCTGTAGCTACGTAGTTACGTGCGAACGGCGACACAGGCGGACAATTCTTATCAGCTGTCCGTACTGGTGGCAGAGCACTTATGGTTTATAACCGTGTGCAATGACGCTGGTTCACATCTCCCGACTTTACCATTTTTTTTTATCTTTACCTTTCCCCTGCCAAAAAATAACACGACTTTTTGTACCATGTTTTCCCACTAAGTACGTTAAAAAAAATGGGGAGTTGTGTGTTCGGTAAAATAACAAGCATTTGATCAGAAGATAAAGTTGCTGTAGAGTAATTGTTACATGCTCGTCTGCCCTCCCAAAGGTCCCGTGTTAAAATCTTTTTCTGGCTTCTTTAGGTTTACAAACAAAAAAGTAGACCTGGTCTAAAATATGTACCAGGAAATGTTTGGGAAGTAAAGGCGGTCCACGTGATGACATAAGTCTAGCATCCTCTGCCAAATGTGACATGGGCCTTAAAATGTTCTTCGCTATTTTTACAATAATGATTCTACGGGAGTCGCCGTGGCGTAACGGTTAGAGGTTCGCGTGCGGATCGGAAGGTAGTGGATTCGCTCCCTGGCGGGGGCCGGATTTTTAAAAAAAATTACCTTGACTCCCAGGTCGACCCAGCCTTGAGTGGGTAAGGGGTGCAATCCCGGGAAGTAAAGGCTGCTGGACATCATCCATCTTGTGCCGATTGGTCTAAAAATATATAGGTCTAGCCCTATATGCCCTTTACGCCTAAAGATGTGGAAAAAAGACTTTTTTTTTTTTTTTCACTTACTAATGATGTCTTCTGTACTTTGACTGACTGACTTTTTACCCCACCAGGACATCACACAAGCGACAAACACCCGATGACACAAAGTGCCACCATGTGGATGAGGATCGCCGTGGAGAGGTCCCAGAAACCGCGTTCAGACAATTGGCCATATTTATGGCCTGCCTATATTGCGGCCCCTGGCAAAAGCCATGGTGGGGCTTCAAATGACAAAAAATTTCGTCCTAAAAAAACGAAACACCTATTGTTAGGTGAGTTAATATAATTATGTTCTTTGATTTTTCTCAGGCTTAGATACCACGCAGCGAATGAGTCACTGGCGAACATAAACGGTCAGCAGAAAAGGATTGTGCATTTCTCGAAATATAATCCTCCAATGTATCAATTTATACCACACGGACTCTGCGCGTAAGTGTTTTTTTTTTTTTCTCTAAACCTGAAGTAAAACAATTTCTGCTTTATGCAGCAATTTTTATCTCGTTCAGCTCTGCCTCTTTCCGTAGGTTTCCTATAGCTTCACACAACACACGAACCCCGTAGCCGTTCCAGCGAAAATCCCCAGAGATCTGCGTTTAAACTGCACTCGTGAAAAGAAAGATGCTGCAGAGAAAGACACCCACGCCTTTCAGAGTGTGAGGTAAACATCCTTTCTACTTTGCCCATGGATACTCCTCGAAGGTGTGTGCTGAAGGACGGAGCACAAATGGGGCAGACCGATGTGATAAGATATCGATACAAGTTACAAATGACTTCCTGGAGACACTGGGTTAAACAAACGTTAGTCTCCCCCAAACAAACCAGTTCACGTTCCATTCATAAGTTTGTTGGGCTGGGTTACCTCACTGCAGATTACCGGTGTGCAGCTCTGTTGTTTGCAATCTGGGTTATCTTGCATTCGCGCTTTTATTCCAAGAAAGAGCATGCCCATGTCATAGGTTTCATCACTCTCTAAAGGGGTTTGTGTTAGACCCAGTTTGTCAATGTTTTTATAGTATTGAAAGCGCTGGGGTGCAACACTCTATTTCAGCAGCATTGCGGGAAACCCCGTAACCTTGTGACAAAGTAACGTGGCTCATGGTCGACCAATCAGAAGTGAGTGAGTATGCAACACTGTGTAAATGGGGAGACTAACGTTTGTTTTAACGAGACATTGATATAATATTTACAGTCACCAAACATACATTTTGTAAAAAAAAAATAGTTTCGTTTTACTCATCGAAAATCAATGTATGTTGTGCTGAATAATGACCCGGTTACAGTCTTAAGTCGGCGCTATGGCTTAGGCGTTGCGAACGCGCTTCGTAATGCTGGTTTGCAGGGTTCGATCCCAGCTGCGGACGGTTTGTCTTGCGTTGGTTTCTACACTGGTCACAGAGCTGACTGTAGAAAAGCAATGGCAAACAACTGAACGTAAAATTTTCCCAGAAAAACCACAACAGGCAACAAATGCTAGGGTTGGTTCTGCAACGTCCTGTAAAGGATACGCCGGTAACTTTTTTTTAAAAACAGCCTGATATGGTTCCCCTCCATAGGCATTGGATCCTAGGAGCTCAAGCATATTGAGCATCCACCACACCCATAATTTTCATGGAACTTAGCCCCTATCCTTAGAAAATTTATAAAGTTACAAAGACCCCTCTCCATTCCTCCAACCATATATAGATGTCCTTTCTTCATGTAATTGTTATACATTTCTTATTATTTCGAATATGTTATTACATTTACCTCCCATTAAACATAACTGAAATTTTTAAAAAGTTATTATTGTTGCGCACTCAACCAAGCCTTTAGACCATTGATCACCGCCCTTAGAAAATTATAAGGTGCTGAGCCCCTGAAACAAACCCCCCCCCCCCCCCCCCCGGCTTCCCTTTCTAGCACTCCCCAACCCACAAAATGTCTTGGTGGCAATAAGACTGTTTTCCGCATTTATGAAGTTCCAGTCCTACACTTGGAAGTCCGTCTGGTTTGTGAGCTTAGTGATAGTAATGGAGGCTGTATAACACTCTCACTCCAAGACTCTGTGTCCCTGTACCCTGTAGAGAATAAAATATTTTCCACCAAACGTATTCCTGCTCTGACATGATATTTCCAAGACCCAGCCGACTTGAGCACCAATGCAACTTCAAAACCAACAAAACAGCCACTATCATCAGTCAGCAAGTCCTTCACAGAAAGTCGCTCTCCTCATGGTACGCCTGAAAGTACCCCTTTTCATAGCCAGCTTTCCAGCCCCATGCGCTTTCAGTGCCGAAACATCTTCAATGTCCTGTATCCATTTTCATGTGAAGCAGCCATAGCGTGGCGATAGGCTGTGTTAGGGTATTTGACCTCAAAGGATTCCAGTCTCTTCATTTGAGGAAAGATGCATGCTCTTTTCTGGAAAGATGCATGCTCTTCTTTGAAAGATGCATGCTCTTGCTGGACATGTTTACTTTAAAATATTTATTCGTTATGAGTCATATGTTCTTCACATTGTTTACTATCAGTTACTATCAGCATTGTTATGGTTCTTCTTTTTTCCCCCCTTTTGCTTCTTTTGAATGTTTTTAGGCTAACCTGTGGATTTTTCTTTCATTTAAAAAACTCATACTGGAGATAATAGTTGACAGTAATCAAGCGAAGTGTAGGCAGCAGTACAAGCAGTATCCAAGGAGAATCTTGGGAAAATTTTGGCCAAACAAGATCACAAATGAAGAACTAAGTAGGAAAACAAAATGTTAACCATTTGCAGACGTTATCTACGGAAAAAAAGGGAGACAATTCGGAACGTTTTGCAGAAAACTCAGCGAACTGTGCGACACTTTGACAAGGATAGCTGTCCTTTGGGCAGCAGAAGTAACATTGAAATGTAGAAGACCTAAGGAAACCTGGAGAAAAAACATTAAGGAAATCCATAAATGTAAAAAAATTTCTATAAGATACAGGTCTAGCCCTATGTACCCGATGCGCCGGATGGCGTGGAAAATAGTTTAGTTTTTTCTGCTAAATACTCCTTCATCTGTCTATTATTGATATTAACCGATAATAATGATGTTAGTTTGTATCCAAATTCTTTCCGGCAGCAACAGTGGTTATTCTTCGTACGGCAACTGTCTTCAAGGCTCAGTCACGATGAGCTTGCTTGTGTACGACCTGAGGTTCAACCCACCGATCTCCTTTGACATCTTCAGCATCCCTTCGTACTGCAACTGCGTCCAATACTAATTGTCTACTAGGCTGTCTTTATTTGAAAGCATGTGGTATTATATTCACTATTTAGGTTTCATGTACAATTGCATCATTTTGTTTTATATGTAAAGTTATACACCAACTGACACTGCTATTAAGACATCCAAACATAATTATGGGCACTAAGAAACAGATTATCAAAAGCCTATTCATACCAACACTGTGCTAGCAGTGCCAGACTTGGAAATTATCAAAGATTAACGTACGTAAAATAAACACCCCTGAAAAGGGACGACAAAAGCTGACAACTTAACCACTCGAGACAACGTTAGAAATGATATTACCAGACAGACTGTAGGAACAAAACAATGCAACACATGCATTTAGAAACAGCAGATCAAATGACTTGGTTATTTAGTAAGAATGCAGCCACGGCAGCTACCAACGCAGGCTCTATATATGAAAAGGCCTGAAGTGAAACCAAGAGATCTTCTTAGGACAGCATGGACTGATGGCATTAAAGATTTTCAACATGGACGCGGAATGACAGAAGCTATTATTGCCCAAACTGTTCCTCCCTACAGAGCCTAACGGCAGAAGTGAAAATTAAGGTTGATATAATGTTATTTGCATTCTATCTTTTTTTTTCTTTTGAACTCATAACAGGTGTAGACAGTTACCTGCAAAGTAAATAAAAGCACAGTAAATGTCCTTTACACACCAATAGTTTGTCGAGCATATGTCTAGTGCTGGATTTAGGCATAACTTAATTACATTACAGCTAAAGGCCTCACATATTTGATCTTCACAAATAGAACTTTCATTTACTAAATAAAGCCTTCAAGAGGATTGAATAATGTATAGTATACGATATGTTGCAGATATATTCTTTAGTATTTCTTAAAAAACTGTCAAAAGACAATGCATTTCCATTATCCATATATTTAAAATGTGTATATATTTTAAACTTGTCTACGATTATCAGGTGTAATTTAAAACGGTACTGGCCTCTGGGTTTTACATAGCATAGGAGCTCATCAAGTCTAAATACGGCCATGGAGTACAGTAGTTCATATTTGTTTTAAAAAGCAAGAAGATGGGGTATATTGTCAACAACACCCCGGCCACTTTTTAGTCCCAGGAATGTACTTGGCACCTATTTGAGGCTGGATCGACCAGAGAGCCAAGGTCATCTTTAAAAGAAATCCGGCTTCAAACGGATGTGAACCCACGTAGAACCAACCCCAGCAGTTTTGTGCTGTTGTGTTTTTTTTTTTTGTGGAAAAATTTTACTTTTAGTAGTTTGCCATTGCTTACTAAACCATCAGCTATCAGTCCACTGTCAAAACCAACGAAAGACGGTCTGCTGTCTAATGACCCGCAGCTAGTATAGAATCCGGCACTCCGGCATTATAAAACTCGTTCGCAACGCCTAAGCCACAGACGCCAGCTAATTAAATGTAAAACTGTATGTTTAAAGTATCTTAAAAATCAAGGTACGTTTTTTTGTCACCAAGTTTGGTCATATTTTTAATAACAACATTCCGCAGAGTTAATTAATATCACAGCCTCAGTAGTGAAAGGGTTGAACTCTTTGCATCTTGGTCTCAAGATTGTGATTTGGATTTCGTTCTGTGTGTGCTGCCGTTCAGTAATCGTTGCTGCGATTCTGTAAGGCGAAGTAGCCTTTGGTAGTTTTTCATAGCGGAAATTGCGAATAGAATTTGAATGCACAAAGTAGAAAGACCTTGGAGATGTGGTTTTTCACACGAATGTTAAGAATCTTTTAGACTGCCAGAGTAACTAACGTGGATTGCTTGAGGAAAGCTAATGAAAGCAGATCAATATGTACAGTATAAGGAAGCGACAAATACTTTCTTTGGTCACGTGATGGAAAAAGGAAAAAAAAAAAGGGGGGGGGGGGAGGAGAAGGATGTGTAGAATGTTGTAACGACTGGGAAGATCAACGGTCGAAGAGGGAGAGGCAGACCAAAAGAGAAGATGACTGATGGACTGCGACAGTGGAACTGTACAAAACTATTGTTCAAAAATATAAGGCTGGGAATTGATGCATTTTAGCTTGTATTATAAAACGGTTGTACAATATACAGCACGTCACTTCACACGTGTACCGATTTCTATTGTTTACGATGCTAACTGTACTGAAAATATACAATAGACTATGTTATGTAGTAAACTAGCTCTGATTTTGCTGTTAAGCCAGTGACCTACAATAAAGTTCTGAAAATAATCAGAATCAATAAATTGTTGGTCAATAATTTGTCATAATCTTCATCATTATCATCATCATCATCATCATCATTATCATAATCGTCATAAATTTCCAGTTTTACCGGTGAACTTCGTGTGAAGGAACAGTATGTGATCCATTGCTTGATGGTCAACAATGACTACTGTAATTCATTGTCGATGTAGAAGCTCTTTAATGTCATCAATCCTGCCCTCATCGGGCGACCTCTTGCTTTCACATCAGATCAGTTCATCTGTATCGCCTGCGATAATAGTTGTTCTGTCTGCATTCTTACTAAATGACTAAACTATTTAATCTTCTGTTTCTCAATGAATGTGCTACATGGTGTTGTCCCAGCAGTCTGTCTGATAATATCACTTCTAACCTTGTCTTAGATGGCTTATTTGGTGGCTTTTCGCAGGCATCTCCTTTCTTATGAGTTAATTTGTAGGTAGATTAGGTTAGGTTAGTTGCGTATCCTTTACAGGACGTTGCAGAACCAAACCAGTTGGTTTTTTCAAGGCAAATTTACGTCCAGTAATTTGCCATTGCTTCTGGACGGTCGGCTTTCTTGATACCACTGTCGAAACCAACGCAAGGCGCATGGCCCGCAGTTGGGATCGAACCTGGCATCCCGGCATTACGAAGCGTTCGTAACGACTAAGCCACAGAGCTGACTGACTGTAGGTAGATTAGCCTTTGATAATGTCTAAGTGTGGCACTGACAGTTTTGGCGCTCATACTTATGTTTGGATGTCTTAATAACGGTGCCATTTGGTATATAAGTGCACGGACTGTTGGCATCTTGTTTCTACTTGCCGATGTATTCTCCCGTCCTCCAAGAATATACTTTTAATATTTAAATCTTAAACATTATTCAGACAAAGAACTATTTAACCCTTAGTTAGCGGTCTAGGAATTCTTCTGAAGGTGTATCTGTTATAATATTTACAGAATTACATAAAATGTCCACAAAATAAGATATGTTAGGGCTATATGTGTATTACATTATCGAACAAATGGAAATATGTTATTGACCAGCAAACCTAGATGATTCATTTTCACACATCGATGCGTGTTGCCTAAATGGTATTAGTCCAATCCTTGTTTATTGAGACCAACCCCCACTGTGTGGCTGCAATGAGAAAATATGAGTGTCTGTTTTTACTTTTGGTGAAATTACCTGTCATATGTTGTGTATCAGCATATACGTTAACAACTTCGTGCTTATAGACGGATTTGAAAACAGTATCAACACGGTGTCGGCTCTGTGGCTAAGTCGATGTGAACGCTTCGTAATGCCGGGATGCCGGGTTAGATCCCAGCTGCGGGCCATGCGCCTTGCGATGGTTTCAACAGTGGGATCAAGAAAGCCAACCGCCCAGAAAGCAATGGCAAACTACTGGACGTAAATTTGCCTAGATAAACCACACAACAGCCAGGGGCTGTTAGGGTTGGTTCTGAAACGTCCTGTAAAGAATACGCAACTAACCTTTAATCAGCACTGTAGCAAGTCTGCTTACAGCCCGATGCGCTGTCGAAGTTTAAAGCTATGTTGGTGATCGTGTTGCAGGTTTTGATAAATTACAAAGGAGTACGAGTTGTATGGAAGATAAATAAAAAGAAACACTTTAATAAGTTCATAAGAAATCAAATGTACGCCCGCTCCCAAACAAGGAGACAAAATAAGCAACGACGGATTTTGGTAATTAAACTGTATTAATAAAGAAAACTGTCATGGAAATTATTTCCATGGAAAGACCAAGACTGTGTCCGGGTGGAGACAGACCTGGAGCACCTATTTAAGAAGCATGCAAACGGGCACTATCCTGCTGGTTAAACTTATCCTCAACACCGCATGGAACAAGAGGGGCAAAGTAAGATGATTTGAGATTATCGTAGTGGTTTTAAAGTTCAGACTTTTCTGCAACGCGAAAACATTGAGTGAGCTGAGACAAACTTTTGTGTTAACAGTTAACGTTATGTATGTTAACAATTAACGGAATCGTTGTTATCACGTCAGTAAATACATGTAACCTACTCATGTAATACACAAGATTGTGTGATGGAGATTCTAACTCCGTTGCTGCGGCTACTTTATAGCAGTGTTATTTACGGAAAAGCTACAACATTTCTAGTACGTAAAATATTAAGTAAAAACAAAATTTAATACACAGTATGTAAACAATACAAATATATTTGTAAAGTAAGATATATAAACAAGTTTGATGAAGTTCATTAAAAATGAAAGATTACTCTGCAGAAAGCATTAGAGAAACTCTTAGTATATGGCATAGCTGTAAACATTTAGCAAATGATATATTTAAAGAAATAGTGAGTTGCATATATACATTTATACACACTATTAGACGCCTGGTTTGTCGCATAGGAAACGTATCTAATTAGTCTTAGTCTTAGTCAACGTTTCAAGTTCACTGCAAACAGGTCACCCACTACTTGATCCGTTACTGTGCCAGTCAAAAATCAATGAAACTTAGGAACAAAAAAGTTAATCCCAGCATAATCTAGAAATATGTAAGTGAAGTAAAGATCCCCTGTTACGCCTTAGGCGATTTGGGTATAGGGCAGAGCGTCCCATATTTTTACAGACCAATCGGCACTCGATGGGTAATGTGGTCAGCATTACGCCGGCCGTCTTTACTTTCCCATGACATCCATCCTGGTGTCCATTTTAGGTTGGGTCGACCTGCGACGCCCCATACTACGTTTAAAATCCACGCAGCCAGCAGTGGTTTTCGATCACGGTACGTTGGATCACGAGTCG